TTATAGTATAATATAATATAGTCGTAATTTTTAATTATTTATAATAAATTAATTTTATAATTTACCAAACGTTATTACGTTGATTTTAAAATTAATATAATTATTATAATTATAATTTATTAAATATTCAACTACTTTTTATATTAACTACTTCTTTTTTTAACACAATTAAAAATAATTTTTTTAAAATCTAAATCACTACTAAACTAAGCTTTAATGCCCCGCAAAAAATGACAATCCGTGGCCTCCTCGTGTCTAGACATTTTTGCTTGGCACCACCCATGTCTACATGTTGCCCAGCTTGTCCAATCACATCAATTTCAAAGTTTAAACTAAAAAATAAATAAATAAATAAACAAAAAAGCATTTAAAAAAAAAAATTAATACAAAACCAGATGCATCCTTTGTCTCTCTCAGACAAGCTTTCCTCTAATCACTGCGCAATTATTTCATCATCATCGCATTCAAAAGTTAAATTCTTGTCTTCGTTTTCTTTCAGATTTATTTTCGTTAATAATAATAATAATAATAATAATTCTCAGATTCGATATTCCCATTCCCAAAATCAGCCCAGAAAGTCTGTAGGAATCCGGTGTGGCCGGGATTTGGGGCAATTCCACAGTCCATGGCATCGGCGCCGTCGAACAAGATCGAGAGGGCCCACCAGTTGTACCGCGAAGGTCGGTACGAGGATGCCCTAGGGCTTTACACGGAGGCCCTCGCCATGGCCAAGACCAATCCTCAGAAGATCGCTCTCCATAGCAACCGTGCCGCTTGTTTTCTCAAGCTTCACCGTTTCAACAAGGTTTTCTTTTCTCTTCTTTTCTTTTCCTTTTTTCCTCGGAATTATTTTCTGTGAAAGATTGATTCTTTGCCTCCATTGTCATGTAGTTCTAGCTCTGATTAAATTGCGATAATTTTATTATGAAAATTTTTGAGCAATTGGGGGTGAAATCAGGAATTCGAAATGCGATATACTGTTCAAGTTGTGATTTTGGTACAGTTCCGTTTGTGAAATGAAGTGAATCGAATTATTTTGTGGGAGTTCTTCACGTTCAGCTGATTAAGTTATATATGGCCAAGGAATTCCAATTTAGCAATTTCGTTATGGTTTTGAGATATTCGAAATTACAATAATTTTACTAGGAGAAATTTTGAGTAATTGGAGAAAAATCAGAAAATTCGAAATGGTATACTCTCCAAGTTAGGATTTTGGTGCCAATTCTGCTCGTTGAATGAATGAAATGAATCAAACAGTTGATGAATGCATATCCAAATTTTTTTTTTTCTTGGATAAATTGTTTTGACAAGAGGGCTCTGCTATTATATAAATTGGGATAAATTGCAAAAATTCCCCCCTCCCCTTTGTCAGTCGTATCGCCCCTGCATACCCCAACTTGCTAAAAGTGGCAAATCGAGTTGATACTAGTGAGTGACATAGTCCAAGGGGGTTTTGACATCCTGTTTGTTGGTAAATGGTACTTAGTAATCATGTTGTATTGAATTTTTGAGTGGCCAAGGGGACATTAGTTGGTAATCATTGATTTGATTCTTTATGTGGAAGCAGGAGTCGTCTAGTTGACTACTATTTATGTATTGGTTTATGTTTAAGTTCTTGGGTTTTATTCATTTTGGCCGTTGCGTTATTGAAATGACTTTGTTCCAACTAATCTTAGGCAGCAGAGGAGTGCACCTCCGTGATTGAGCTTGATCAGAACCACACCGGGGCTCTGATGTTGCGGGCGCAAACGTTGGTGACCCTCAAGGAGTACCACTCGGCGCTTTTTGATGTAAATAGGCTCATAGAGTTGAATCCATCATCAGAAGTGTATCAAAACCTTGAAGCCCGTTTGCGGACTCAGCTGGTATTCCCTCCCACTTTTCTGGCTGCTAAACTTTACATTATTTGTGCAATTATTGCTAGTAGTATGAACTTTTGGAAGTGGAGAGTATTTATATTTGAAATAAAGCCAACAATATGGTAGGTAGATTTCTTGTCACCAGCCTACTTAGTGTTGGATTTATCATGCCATAGTCTGATCGCTATTTGCTACCCCCAGGAAGATCCTACAGTTGTCCTTCGATTCAGTCTTTTCACATTGATTTGATGGGATAATGTAATTGCTAATATCATATAATAATTTCTGGTATGGAGTAAAGATTTCCTGGGAATCACGTGGATTAACGGTGGATCTGAACATGTAGAATCTAATTAGGATTCTTTTTTGTGCTGAAATTGGTAATTATCAGTTTCCTGACTGTCATTAAGAGATTTGTTTTCTTTTCCTGCTCAAGGAAAGTCACTTGCTCCGATACCCGAATCAGAAGCAGAGTTAGAAGAGGAAGAGGAAGAACAAGAACAGGAGCAAGAAAATGAAAATGACGAAGGAGCAGAGACAATTATAGATGAGGTGAAAGAGGAACAATGTGGAGAGAGAGAAATTATGACAATTGCATCTGCAAGAACAGTTAACAGCGCTGAGTTCAATAGGACAATTGCTAAGACCAATTTTACAGGGATAAAAATCCCAATCAAGAAGGCATTATCTGAACAAGAGAATGGTCAAAGTGTCAATTCTGTAAAGAATAAACCAACAGCTGAAGCTGTTGCTCCTCCTCAAGCACAGTGCACAAAGGGATTATCTGAAAAGGATCCCCAAGGATGGCAATCGATACCAAAACCGAAGGGACACTCAGCACTGGATTATGCAAGGTGGGACAGAGTTGAAGATGATTCCAGTGAAGATGATGACGATGATGATGACGAGGAGGCTCAACCTCAATATCGCTTCCGTCTAAAAACTGTTGGTGTGCGACCAGTGAAGTGAAGAAAAAATGTTGAGCGTATATAATACAGATTGTGCATTCTCATCTCTGAATTACCCACAGAGAGAAGTCGAAACCATTCTAAATTTATAAGATGGTTCATGTCAAAAGCTCAGGAAGATTCTTTGGCTGAAGTTTTTTAAAGCTAAGGAAATCTCCTCAACATGTCGGTGAGCCCGGCGATACTAGAACTGATACACCAAGCAAATAATGTAGAGCATAGAAGTCTGCATTAGACCCCGGGCTCAAGCTAGTTCTGTTGTTTCTTTGCAGTTAGTTCCACCATCCATACAGATTGTTTCTCGGCCAAAGAATTGATCTGAACCTTTACTGTCTCATTAGTGGGTATGAGGTTTGAGACCTATTGGTTCTGATAATGTATTTACATGTTTGATTTGTCCATATTCAGATCCCTTATTGTAAGTTATTGCGTTGCTGTCTCTAATGGGAAATGGCAACTCACGCCAAGACATAAGCCTTTGTTGTTTGGTTTCTCTGATTGATTTGTTCATTGAATTTCTGGTATGGTATGGAGCATATTACGTAATCCATATAAATCACTACATGAATGCCTAGTAAAGGTTGGCCAAAGTATCTTTCTGCCATGTATTTTCCTGTCAATTTTTTATTTCTTTTTTTTAAAAAAAAAATTTTCCCACCTAATTTAAAGTGATCATGACGAAAACTTTGAAGGCACTCTTGATAATAAATTTTGTTTCTCTATATATAAGACCATACCTGTATGTAATGACGTTTATTTTTCCAATTTTAGTTAGTTATACAAACCAATACCTAATAAACTCACATGCTAATAAGTTATGGATGGTTTTCAATAATAACCTTTAGGAAGTGCTAGAAATGAAAAACATATATGGATCAGTCGGTGGTTGCCTAATTGGCTAATTCTATATGCAGTGAACCAGAAGTCATTGTTCAATTGAACTTCAACACCGCTTTTAAGCTTATCATTATGTGTAGAAGACGTAAGTTGGAGACAGACATGCATTCAATTAATGAATATATCACAAAAATGTTCATCCTTGCACGGAAATCCCCTATCTAGCTAAACTTCTATCGGAAACTTAGAGAGAGAGAGAGAGAGAGAGAGAGAGAGAGAGAGAGACTAATGCACTCTTGCCTGCTTTTGGTGGCATTTTACTAACTGTTTAAGCGAATAAATCGTGTGACCAAATATTAATCCCAAAAGCAATCTCTTTGTTGTAGCGTCACCAACAGAAACAAACCCCACATTTCTGTTGCCTTCCAAAATTTGGGGGGTAGAGAGTTTTCTTCCTATATAGACAAAGCAGGCTTCAACTTCCATTACATTCGGCTAAAAAAAAAAACACAACCCCCACCAATTTTCTCTGCCAAATCTCACACTTTCTCTCACTTTCTCTCTAAACAAACAGCTAGCGTCATGCATAATCTATCTCTGGTTGCATATTCCGTCTTCTTCAACGCATCCAAAGCCTTGTTTTTCATTTGTCTTATTCTCGTGGCCTTGCTCTACGTCTTTATCTTCTCAAGCATCATCACAGATATTCAAGAATTAGCAGCTTTTCTTGCCAAGAAAAAGGGTAGTACGAACTTGGCTTTGTACATGATGTTTCAAGAAAACCTAGCGTCTCAGCATTCAAACGGGTCGTACCATGAGGTCCTTAGAAGTCAATAATGAAGGCCATGCATAAATATTTGAAGGTTTTAAAGAAATCATTATATACTATATGTTGAGAAATATTATCAACACGTACGGCCAATCTTGTCTTGTAATATTAGTTCTAATATTGGCTTGCAATCAAATAACAAGGAAAAGATCACGAACAAAGTGATTGTGCATATTTTCTTCCCTTCAACGTGAGTTTGTACGATCAATTTCCAAAGGGCAATAGCAATATATATACATACATGCATATATTGCTTATATTACAAAAAATATATTAAGGAGTGATTATCTTTGTATGTTTTTTTGCTAATTATATTTGCATGCATGATTAGCATTTTATTTTCCCACTGGGGGTTGAAATATTTATTGAGGCGGCTATTGTCTGGTTATGCAATGGATTTATTTCTTATGCATGATAAGCTAGCTTCCTATTTTCTAGTGCTTCATTTTCTGCTTCTTATGATCATATTTGCCGACCAAGTTGTTTGCCAATCAATCACTCTCATATGAGCTGCACAATTAAACAAATTTTGATCAATTTGAATTTGATGATCACCCTTGGTCAAATAATTGTGCTCAGAGTTCATTAGATTTTTTTTTTCATTATATGGTAGATTATCCTATTTAATTGTTTAATTAATTTGATTACCATCAAGCATATAAAGCAAGTTAATCTGTAATATTTTTCTTCTCTTCAGATAATTTTCTGATTATTTATGTATACACACATACATATATACATATGTGTGTGTATATACCTAGTGGCGGAGCCACTTGAAGATGAGCGGGGGCAGCCGCCCCCACTCAAATTTTTTTGAAAAAAATATTACCTTTAAAATTTTTATAATTTTACACTTAAGCCCTCACTAAAATAATATATGTCCCCATTAAAATAAATATATTTTCTTATATGCCCCCACTAAGATAATTTATTAAAAAAATTTAGTGTACGCCCCTACTGAAATGAAAGGCTGGCTCCACCATTGTATATACGTATATAAATGGATGAGTTTTTAATGGTTATATATTTACCATAATTATCTTTCACATATATAAATTTGATAATGTGTGGTGATAAGAATCCAATATATGCGTGTGGGGTTACCCAAGCTAATCAATCATTCTATTGTATGAATGTAATAGTTAAGGCTTTCCCAATTAATGGTCAACTCAACTTCCATGCATATTGTTTTCATTTATCATATGCCAAAGAGTGATATTGACAATATAGAATATTTACTTTTGCGTAAGGAAGATTCAAGAATATGGACCCTCCAATTATGTGCAATTCAGTTAGACATTCCCTTAAGTAAATAAAGAAAAAGAAAACAAAAAGAGGGGAAAAGAGAGACAAAAAAGGAAAAAAGAAAACGTATATATATATATATATATAAGTGTTAATTGGACCCCCACTACTTGTTCTCTAAGACAAGATTAATCCAAAAAGAAAAGAAGGAAAAAAGAAACACATGAAAAAGTGGAGCTACGTTATCATCATACAATTTCAAAGAAAGCATGGTTTATGTACATAGGAGCGTATAGTTGAAAGTAAAGATGATTAGGTTTGTCAAAGGCGCTATATTGAATGCAGCTTTGTGTTATACATGTCAGTTAGTGATCTATCACTATTATATATATTTATATATATATATATATCATGATGATGAGTTTCATCATGAAGCTTTCTCAAAACTTATTTGAATTATGACCCCATATGATATATAGCATCACTTTTGGGAAAAAAAAAATTTCCATTTGTTGCATTAAGAATTTCAAAACATATGAAGATTAAATTTGAACAAAAGGATGTATTAATTTAAGCTATTTGATTCACTTTATTTTATGAGCTTTAAACTTGGATTGGAAAAATGTAAAAATTCTTAATTCCAAAGAAAAAAAAAAGCAAAAAAGATATGTAAACAGTCCAGTTTAAAAAAATATATATTATTTTTCTTCTGAAATGAATTTGTCAAAAAATTTCCAACTATTATGACGAGTATGTTTAATTCATACGACCGTTGAAACTTGTGGCGTTAAAAGATCCCAGGAGGACGAATGCGTAATTTCCGACACTACGAATTTGGCCGTTACAAAGCTGCGGGGCAATCTCCGAAATACATCATCGATCCAGGGGTATTTTCGTCAGCACACATTTGAAAACTTCTCTAAATTCGACCGTTACAACATTTAAATACAGATTTAGCTTTGGCTCGTTAACCTCAACCCCAAGTCTCTCTCTCTCTCTCTCTCTCTCTCTCTCTCTCTCTGTTCTTATTCTCTGTCTCACTCTCTTTTTCAAATTCCATGGCCGATCAAAGCACAAGCACGTCAATCATGAAGCCCAAAACCCCACACCCACTTCAGCAAATCGCCGATACGCCGACCCACAAGCTTCTCCTCAAGCAATGGCTCAAAGAGGAAGAGCTAATCCTCGGCCGAGTATCCCTCAAGGAGACCCAGATCAACTCGGTTCGAAAGGAGATCACCAATCTGTACGTCTTCTTCTTCCTCTTCCACTCCCTCTCCCTCGTCATCCTCTTCAACGCCGCCTCCTCGTGGGCCCCGCACGGCGGTGGTGCACTGTGCAGGAGGTCGTGGATCCCGTCGCTTTGCTTGCTTCTGTTCTCGTTGGGGCTGATCTGGGCCGTCCGGTACAAGACCGACACCGAGGTCCACCTCGAGAAGATGCTGGAGAGGGAGAAGGAGGACGGGAAGCTCCTCGCGAGGTGCGTAGAGGAGCTGAAGAAGAAGGGCGTCGAGTTCGACCTGCTGAAGGAGGTCGACGCGCTGCGTCGGGCGAAGAGTCTCCATGTCGAGGCAAAACCGGTGAGGAAGTGGTCAGCCAGGGACTTTGTTACCCTCTTCTTCTTCAGTGCTTCCTGTTTTGTTCTTGTCATCACAAGGGTCATCTTGTGTGATTAGGTCTCTTCCTTTTTTTTTTTGTGGGGTAAAGGGTATTTTGGGAATTATTGGGATGATTCATTGATTTTTGTTGGTTTTCTGTTTTTTGGGTTGTGGCAGAATACTCTTGTTCTGCTTTTAGTGAACATGTTAAGTTGAAAGTGTATAAGAATATTATGAATAAAATTTTGGGACTGATTCATTGCTTTTCCTAGTCTTTGCATTATTGAAATCTTCTTTAGAATGTGGGACATTTGGTGGTTGATTTTGGAATTTGGAATTTGTCTTCTCTATAGAATGTGGGACATTTGGTGGTTGATTTTGGTGATTTATTGTGGTGCCAAGAAAAGTTTTGGGACTGATTGCTTGGTGTCAAAATCTTCTTCACTAGATCTGATTTGGATTTTGTTTTATATAGAAATGGGCCATTTGATGTTTAATTTAGATACTTCTTTCTTTTTCTTTTTTGCTTTCCTTCATCTTTTTTTTTTCTTTTTTTTTTGTGTGCCTATTTTTGGTAGCTGTCACACTAATATTGAGAGAGTATTATCAAAAAATAAAATAAACCACTTGCGCATAACTTTAATTTTGTGCAAGTTCAACAATACAGTAGGTCCCCAAAGCTGCTCTTAAAGTTCCAAATGCAGTTATTGTCACATTTCCTACCAATTTAAAAATCCAAATTCCATTTGAAGAGCAAATTTTCAGATATAGCGAGTTATTGACTTATGGGAATACAAACGAAGTTGAGCAAGAAAAATTGACCCAATATTATAATGGCCCGCTATTACAGCTGTGCTGATTAGTAATGCGATTCTAACAAGTAACCTGGAAGGTTACCATTTTTGGTAATCTTCTGAAAATCCTCCTTCTATGGCAATGATAACTGGGGATTATCATCAAAGCATATCGTGTGTTTGGAATAATGAAGAGAAGCTTCAAAATATATATATATATATATATGTATATATATTTTTTTTTTTTTTCTGTAGATACAAGCCCTTATATAGGACACCACTAAAGAAATCTAAAAATTTAGTGACAACCTCTTGGTCACAACTTATTTTTTGTGTTTTCCTGTAATTAAATATGAGAGTCACATTAGTAGCAACTTATCATAACTCGTCATTAATATGGCCTCGTTCGTTTCGCTGATTCGAATTTAGAATTCGAGTTGAGATGTGATTTTATGTGAGAGCTTTTTACTGTAGTAAAAAAGTTAGATGTGACTATTTATGAGAGCTTTTTACTGTAGCAAAACTCGAATTCTAAACTCAAATCAGCGAAACGAATGAGGCCTAGTTACAACCCTTGCATATTGCTAATTTGGAAGCAAAACATCAGGGAGTGAGTTTCTGATGTAGAAAACGTTAGGATTTAGGGTATTTAGGATTTATCTTTTATCTTTATTTTATTTTGTGTTAATTTTTTATTTATTTTTTAATCTTTCAATTAGTTCTAGTTCTATCATAATGATTAGTTTTCAGTTCTATTAGAAATCAAACAACAAAAGAGCTATAAATTATGTACTCCGTGATCTATTAATTTATTCAGACACTCATTCAGTTATTTAATAAAATTCATAGTTTTTAGCTCAAAAGCTTGCTACTCTTGGCTAATTATGGTTAGTATATTACATAATAGCTTTACTGCCATATATGGGATAAATTTATTATTACCAGTACATTAACTATGCAAAGCCACGGATGTATTTTCTCTAGTGTCAATTACGTATAGTACTCATCAGGAACAAAGGACTAGTGTGTGAAATTTACAAGACTTTCACAATTGCAATCACCAAAAATATATACAAATCCAAACTCAAATTATCAATTTTCATCTTCCCTCACCAATGGAGCTGTGAAGCATAGGTCGAGATGCACCATTTTTAGGTGGTGTCGCAGTCACTGCATCTGTCACCATGCTTGTGCTCGCGGATGAGTCGTAAAAGCTCGAATCAGTTCCTTTAGTTGCAATGCCACTCATTAGGCTGCTCACGTCGTCAAATTTCCAGTCTGCCAAGTAACCAGGCCTCGAAATTTCGGTGCTCACTTCAATGTCTCCTGAAAGCATTGCCACCACTCTTGACATGGATGGCCTGATTGTTGGCGATGTTTGCGTGCATAAAAGGGCGATGCTTATGACCCTTCTCACTTCTTCCTCGTCGAATTCCGATAGTTCTGAATCCACCAAGTCAATTTCGCGTTCTTGTTCTTGAAGATTCCAAGCCTAGAAAATTCATATCAAATTGCATAAGGGACTTGAGAAAGTTATTCGATTGTTGAATGCCAAGAATCAAACTTACTATGAAAACTAATACCAAAGGTAACATAAAGATGCAAAAAAGTCAATCAACCAAACAAATACAGTACTAATAGTTAATAGTCCGAACAGCCACAATGCTAATAGTTCGAGTACTAACAATGCAAAAATCCAAAGAAAATGCGAAAAATAGTTCATTTAGGAACCAAGTAAAAGAGTTCATAAAGTTCGTTTTCCTTACCAATTCAAGCAGATAGACCTTTTCTTCTTCTAAGCTAGTGTCAGAATTTGACCTGCCACTGATAATTTCTAAAGCCACAACGCCAAAGGCAAAGACATCAGTTTTCTCCGTTAGGTGCCCACGCATGGCGTATTCTGGCGCAAGATACCCACTAGAACATCATCAACAGTAAGTTTGAGTCGACAAATGATCAGTAGTACATTGACAAGTAACAAAGAAAACTAAGGTTTTCGAGATCTTACATTGTCCCGGCAACGCGAGTACTAATGTGTGTCTTTTTGTCATCATAAAGTTTGGCCATACCGAAATCCGATATTTTGGGGACAAGATTAGAATCAAGCAGAATATTGCTAGACTTTACATCTCTGTGTACGATTCTAAGCCTTGACTCCTCATGAAGATAAGCAAGACCTCTTGCTACACCCAAGCAAATGTCGAACCGAGTTGACCAATTCAGGTTCAACCTATGCTTTGCTGAATCACATCCAGGCCAGCCATAGAAATTATTAGACCGATCACTAATTTGTTTTAATGTTGTTTTTTTATTTGTAAGATTTATATGTACATGTACTTGTTTAGAAAAAAAAATGTTTCTCGTACCAACAAATAGTGCTTGATCTAGACTCTTGTTTTCCAAGTACTCATAAACAAGAAGTCGTTTGTCTCCTTCAATGCAACATCCATGGAGTTTCACCAGGTTGCGATGTTGAACAGCGGATATTGTGGCGATTTCAGTCACAAATTGGGTTTTCCCTTGGTGGGAAGTCAAAGACAGCTGCTTCACAGCAATAACTCTTCCATCTGCAAGTGTTCCCTGTGAAAAGAAATTCAAAGTTTGATTTAAAAAACTCCAAAGTTTTTATAATGTAAGGAATTTTTTTTTGTCTTTGTATCAACTGATGGACTTTTTGGTGCTACTAAAGGTCAATCGTTTAATCTGCAGATTATAATTAAGTCTAAGTAAAGTAACTAATACCTTGTAGACAGGTCCAAATCCTCCTTCTCCCAACTTATTAGTCGGATCAAAATCATTTGTCGCCGACCTTAGTTCGGCGTAACTGAAGGTGAATGGTCTCACATCCATATTCAAGAGCTCTGCAAATCAACTAAAAGTCAATATGCTTTTCTTTTTTATTTTCCCTCCTATATTTTCTTGTACAAACTAACAATGCATAAAGAGAACAAGTCCCAAATAGTTTCCTTAAGAAACAAACAAAGCAAGTGCAAGTGTTTGTTTGTTTATCTACTGCTTACTTCAATTAAAATCTTTTTTTTCCTTTATTTTATTAATTATTTGAATTCATAAAATGGGAAAAAATTAGTTTAAAAGTCAGGAAAAAGAAAAGAAACCTGCAACAGAGAAAGAAATAGTTACCTTCATCATTACACATTTTAGCTTTTCTTCTTCTATGGATAATAAAGATCACAAAAACAGACAGAAGGACTAAAACCCCAGCACCAACAACAATTCCCACAATCAGCCCTGTCCTATTCTCCTCATTGCTTGGAGGCTTGTTACTCACAGTTGGTGTGAAATCTGTGTCAATATCGAAAACACCATTAATAACAGTCCTTAAAAGTCCAATTGGTTCACGCGTACAAGTCAGTGATTCTGATTCACTGGCGGGAGCTTTGTAAGAGAAGAAGTTTTTAAATTCAAATAATTCTTTGTGAGATGAAAAACTCTGTAGCAGAATCAAAATCATAGGTTTAAGTATATGAGCCAAACGGACCCTAAATGTCGAAACCAAAATGAAATGTTTGACACAATTTTGTTACCTGGGGTAGCACTGATGGCTGCAATGGAAGGTCCATAGATACCTTGTGCAGGTATGCAACAAGTTCCTTTCCCGGCCCAAAAGAGATGCACTTCAAGGTAGTTATTTGACACTAGAGCCTTATACTCCTTCTGGACAGCCCGGAAGGATATCTCGCCGGCCTCCTTTCGGATATCAAAATCTTTCAAAACACGATTCCCCTACAATACCCAAGAATAGTGAGAAAAAGAAGTTGCACTATCTTTGTCATAAAACATAGTGCGAGACCAATTAGGTGAAGAATAATACCTGGATGTAGATATCAAATACACGCCTTCCGACACTCTTCCAACTCCGCGTGTTCTCAATATCTATTTCTGTGAACTCCAGTTGCACGGTGTAGTTACCGTTCTCGAGTCCCAGGCCATAGTACCTCAACGACGAGGCAGAAAGCCTTAATGTCTGGAAAAGTTCTGAGTTCAAAGTATTTGTGAATTGAGACAAAGAAGACCTTGTGTAACTAACATTGCTGTTTTGCGCGAAAAGTCCGACATTGCTAACTGCCCATCTATTGGTGCTGGTCACAAAGTGGTTAGCTGGACCAAGAGTCTCACTATCCCTTTCATACACAATGCTACCATCAGATGATGTGATTTGAGGACCACCAGAGTTAACTCCAAAGTTGTAATCTGCATAAAAGTGCAAACAAAACTTGTTATTTATCTAATATGTTTTGGGAAAAGGGTGTTTTCTTTTGCACATTAAAAATGGCCAAGCGCTCACAACTATTTGAATGGAATAAAATAAAGTTAAGTGTGAATTCTACTTACATATGGGATTGCCTTTCTTGCAGGGGAAATTCTTTTGGAGGCAGTTCAATCCTGAAAGAAGATCTCTGAAAGAAGAAGTGGAATGAACTTAGATAAAATATGGAAGTTATTTTCTGAAGAACAAGCACTAACCATTTGCAGTGATGCAGAGAAAGAAGGTTAAGCAGTGTCATTTGAGCATATTATTTGTGTAGATACAACCGAGAGAAGCAAAAACAACTGAAGTAAACACTACTTAAAAGTTTTGAACATATATTACTTGTAGTGAAGCAGATTAAGTGCATATAGAATGCAATTTTTAGAGAAGAATCACCTGTTCTCTGAACTTTGTATTGTAAAGTTGTTGCCAACCAGGTTACTGCATAGAAGAACAAGAGAAGAAGAAGAAATATTATTTTATCCTAACATGTAAAGAAATCAAGCTAGCGGTATAAAAGACAAGCTCATTACTTAATAGAAGAAGAGCATATACAATTACAACAAATTTAACAAATAAGAAAAGAAAAGAAAAGAAAACTAAGGCCCCGTTCGTTTCATTGGTCAAAATCACAACTCAAGCTTTTGTTTCAGTGTTTTCTCTCAAAAAAATTCAAATTCCACTTTTTGTGCTACAACATTTTTTCTCACATAAATTCACTTTTCAACTCGAATTGAAAACTCAAACCAACGAAATGAATGAGGCCATTAATGTTTACTTGAATATCAGGCAAGCCAATGACATACATCTTTAAGTTTGTTCCATTGACCCACGAAGGAATGCTGCCCACAAGATTATTGTATGAAACATCTCTGCAAGCATAACATGGGACAAAACCATAAATGTTTGATTCACTACCATGACCATTTCTAAACATAGTCAACTAGTGGTATACTTACATAGTGAGAAGAGATTTGCTTTTTTCTTGGGGCAGTGAACCATTCAAACTATTGTTTCCTAGAAACCTGATTAAGGAAAAAGAAATATATGATTCATTTCATTGAGATTAGCTGTCACGAGGCATCTGATACAATCAAAGAGAGAATATGTATTACAGAACAGAGAGTGAACTCAAGTTGAAAAGAGAGTCCGGAATCCGTCCGTTTAATTTGTTGAAGCTCAAGTCCCTGGAAATATGAGAATAAAAATTCATGACTTAAAAAGAAAAGCTAGAAAACTACAAACGCATAATTACATCCGAAAGTTGACACAACTTACAGCTGTGACAACTTTTGATACTCCCCGATATCTGACGGAATCGAACCGGTGAAGTTGTTATTCCTTAGCACCCTACAGGTGACATAAATGAGTTGCTCAAAGATGCATTATGAATTATATGATTATGTGTAGAAAAAACATTTCGCTTACAAGATGTTTAGAGACTTTAAGTCCTTGATAAATGCGAGAGAAGAATTCACATTCGACACTTCGCTCAATCGCCTATCGACATACCAGACACAAGATAGTTAGCTCTATGAATCTGTAGACAAACATGAAAGTGACCAGTAGGCCTATTTATATAGCAACTCACAAGTCTGATAGAGAAGTTAGATTTGCAAATGTTGATGGAATGGGCCCTTCAAAAGAGTTTCCTTGAAACCTCCTATAGAAAACATACAAAGGTAACTAGAAATCAGTCATAAAATTCTAGAGTTCGACTGTTTTTTTATTCTTATTTTTCCTCTCCATTTCAGTGATATGAAGTTAAGGCATGAAGTTCAACTAAAGCATTGGCCTATTTTATTTTCAGATTGTCTTACAAGGTATTAAGATTTGACCAGTTTCCTATGAAGTCAGGTATTATGCCTGTAAGTGCAATGTCTGATGCCCATCTGCAACAAGTGAAATGATTCCCATAGAAAACTATAGTTATATATATATATATATACATATATATATATATAGGTATGGTTTTAATAGTTACTCCAATATTTACTCGTCAATAGGTATTGTCATTTTAGCTGTAAGATATTGATCTGACGGTTGTAATAAATTAGATAGTTGACCAAAAAAATCAATAATAATTAATGAAACTGGATTCTTATCACGTCATCAAATTTTCTTATTTAATGGCAACCACTGATAAAAACATACCACAGATAACCATTGAAAACAAGCATATATATGTTTTTTTTAAGATATCAATTAATTTGTATAGAACAAATGATGAAGGTTTTACAGTGTCTGGAGGCTTTGAAGATTTGCAAATGTTGAAGGAATCTCTCCACTAACTCCAGAGCTATCAATGTAACTGTAAAATAAACAAGGCAAATTTCAGTGACAAGTAAAATTGTTATCTGATAAACTTAAATCAGAAAAGAAAAAAGAAAGAAGAAAAGAAAAAGAGATTGACAAAATTACAGTTGTTGTAGTTTTGACAAGCTCCCCAGCTCAGATGGAAGAGAACCAGAGAAGTTGTTTGCACTAAAAGACCTACAACAAAGAAAAAAAAAAGTGACATAATTCAATTCTTTGTGTATAATTTTTTTAACTGCAAAATGGAAATTTCAAAACACATAATAAGATTGCTATTGAGATTTGAGAATGCCAATTACTCACAAAGATATTAGATCAGTAAGTTGTCCTAGTTCCTTTGGTACCTCCCCTGATAAGGCATTTATTCCAAGACTCCTGATAGTAACCAAACAAAGAACACCAAAAATGAAAATAATAATAATAAATAAATAAAAATGTTTATTTGTAACATAAATATGTCCATTTTCTTGTTAGATTCAAGCTGCATTTTTAGTACACTTACAAGTATTGCATGCTGGTGAGATTGCCAATGGATGGAGAAACAGAACCTGTCAAGTAATTTTGGCCCAAATTGCTGTAACAAAAGGAATATAAGCCTAATTTTAGTGGAATTTTTTCCATGTGACAAACAATAGTTTGATGTTATAAACAGAAAATGAAGTTGGCGTTGATTTTGTAAAGAGAAAGGAGCAATGAAAATGGCCAGAGAAGCCATACAGATTGAAGAGGAAGGTCAGATTCCATAGCTCTTCTGGGATTGGCCCAGCAACATCCATTGAATATACTTTCCTGCAACCAAATTTTGGTGACAAATTAAACACAAAAATAAAAGTATTTGACGTTTACTACATAGCGAATGGACGTTTCATATTTTAGAACGGACGTTATGTTTTAAAAATTCAGAGACAAAGTGTTATAAAGATCATAATTCGGAAAAAATTTTATAAGTAATCTTTCTATTTATTATCTAGGGCTTATCTAAAAATGGAAAATACAAAACACGTAAGATATGTTACATATGACAGTACTGCGGATCCTAATTTATCTTTCAAATTTTTACGTACCAAGTAATGTATCAAATAAGTTGTCAATTTTTAATTCGTAATTATAACTTTTTACAAAGAGATTTACTAAATAGAAAATGATAATTCACTTATCACTTTTTGGCTCTGGATTAATGTTACAAATTACAGCCTAAACTATATTCCTTGTCCCATTTTGGCCCTTTGGTCATGAAATCGTTAAAAACTCAATGGAACTAACCGTATGAACCTCACATTACTGGTTAATGAAGGGTATTTTAGACTCGTAAAGCAATTAAGATGAACTAAACTAAATTTAACCCTCACATACTTTGTTAGCAACAAGCTAATGAGTAGAGAATAAAATTTTAAAATATCTCTTATCTCTTATTAACTAAGTATGTGAATGTCACGTGGTTGATTTTCTCGAGTTGTGAAAAATTTTGTGACATAAAGGTCAAATGTGAAACAAAAAACGTAGTCTAGGGTGCAATTTGTAACGTATAAAAGTTCTGAGGATCAAAATGGAATACAAAATATAGTCTAGGGGCCAAAATTGACATTAACCCAAAAAAATAATGTAGTTGAGATCCCTATCAATATCATCTTATCAATTGGCAAATGTAATAATATCCCCTCATAATATTATACAATCAAACATACATGTACACGTAACACGTATAAATAGGACTTACAATTGGGTGATGTGGCAAAGAGAATTATTGTTGGAAGAACAATCGCATTTGATAAAGGGATTGTATGTATCAAAGCCGATGGCGGTGTCTATGGCGGCTCCACTGCACGGATCCCCAGTTGTATTCCATTGTTGAGTGTCAGCCTTTATGTTCCATTGGTCAAATATTGAATTCAAGGCTCTCACTGCAGTCAAATTGTACATTATTTAGGGGACGTTTAGAAAGAAAATTAATTTTTAATTTAAATTATGATTTATAATTGATTATAATGTTTTTTTTTTTAAAAAAAATATACATAAATTGAAAACGCTTGTATCAACATAATTCAAAAGTTATTGTTCTTTATATTATTGTTCTGCAGCCAAATATTTTATATTATTGTTCTTCAAAAGTTAACTAATATGTCATGTGTCTAAAAGCAAAGGATAAGAAAAAATATTCATAACGACCGCCATTGCTATATCCCACCAAATATTGCCATGTTGTACACAAATTTAATGAACTTAATTTAATTGCTGCAAAATTGCTACTTAAATAAAGATGACTTTTTTTTTTCTCCGCCAAATAAGGTTGTTCTTTCTGCCAGGTATAAACCCACTTATGAAAGAAAAAAAAAAATGAAAACCATAAACCCAGTTCTCTTTTTTGTTTGAAAAGAATAAACCAAATTTTATGAACGCGTACTAGTTATCTCCTATGGGACTAATTATTAAGATGAAAAACTGCAACATATGTACATTAGTTTGTTGATTAAACTTTGCAAAAATGACACTGAGAGGAAAAAGATGGAGAGAGAGAGAGAGAGAGAGAGAAGACCTTCAGAGGGATCTGTGGTGGCTTGAGTTTCATTCTGAGCTCTTGTTAAAGAAGCTGTGAGAACAAGGACGAAGGCAACACAGAAAGTAAAGACTTGAAAATTAGCTGATGATGAAATTGAAACTCCTGACATGAATTAATTTGCAGGTCCTTGACCCTTTCTCTCCCACAGCTTAATATGAAGAATATACCAAACTCAAGAGGAAAGTGAAAGAGATCAGATCATCATAGAGAGGGAGAATTTAGATTTAGATATCCAGAGAGCGACCACAAGTGTGTGTGTCTATCTATCTATCTATCTATCGAAATATATATATATATATATATGAAATAATTTATTTTATTTGTTGTTCATTAATTTAACAACAAATAAAATAAATTATACCTTTTAAGTTTTTTTTCTCCTTTCAAAGTTTAATTTGAAATTTATTAACATTTCTTGTAAAAATTTAAATAAATATTTTTCACAATTAATTTAATTATTATTGGGTCTGATAGATCTGGAGGGTGTGACATATCGTAGTCTTCGTAAAAGATCCGTAAGTGCACAAAATTGTAGACAAATAATAAATAGTGAGTACAGAGTGTCGATACCACAAGAATTGTGTTTATTCTTATTAAGTATTGAAATTGGTCAACTCTAGAACTATTTGAGTAACCAAAAATAAAATAGAAAAAATAATAAAACAAAATATAAAAGAAAATTTAAATAAATAAAAAGCCTATATGAGAAAATTCTAGATGTTCGATTTTATCTAGCCGTCTATTATGCATTTTCAATGTCAACTTATCACTAATTAATTCTCCTAGTTTATAACCCAATAACCCAAATTTATTTCAACTCTCTCAACTGGGTGTCGAGTAAAAAATAATCCCTAAATTTTGATTCCAATATCCCCATTCAAAATCAAGAAAATAAACATTTATTATGCTCTATGGTTCTTCCAAAAAGACTTCAAAAGAATTATAAGTCTCTCAAACTCTATAAAATCCTAGGTTACATTATCCAACAGTCACATTTAAAATCTCCTCTTCTGAGTGTCGAATTTTAAATACTAAATCATAATCTATGGTCAGTAAATTAAAAATATTAAGAATATGATAATATAAATAAATTGAGTGAAAAATCTCTTAAAATAAATTAAACAATAAAAATACATAACATCAAGCCAAAGCTATATCGTTTCTCCAGATAAAATAAATTAGAACATAATTAAAATAAAAATAGAATAAATCAACCCCAAAATTCCTAGACAGAATTCCCCAAAATTT